GTGGCTGAAGGTGGAGAAGGATGAAGATCTTTCCAAAGGCCTGGGAAAAATAGGATTGCTTGAGGATGAAGGTGTTACCTTCACGCTTGTGAAGCAGGTTGGAGTGTGAAACATGGACACAGAGAGAAAAAGGGGAGGTGGGACTGGCTGGCTGGGTTTGTTTGTTCTTCAGATTAAGCCAGGAAGTGGGAAATACCCTCCATTCCAAGAGGGTTTTTAAAAAGTAGGCAGTTTAATCACTTAATAGATCTCACTTTATTGCAATAACGATTTAACAGGGAAGTTTTTCCATTCTGAAAGAGAGCAGGCACTCTCTGATAAATTAGATAAAGCACATAATTTTATGTTAAATACAACTGAGATATACCCAAGATTTTTTAAGGTTATAGAGTTTGCAAACTTCAGTATATGTAAAACTGAATATGTATAAAACTGAACTCTGTTAAGAGCATAACTGAGAAATAACAGGAAAATTTTCAGTATATGTTCCTTAAACTGAGAGAACATGAGAGAGAATAAAATTGTGTCACCATGTAATTAAAGAATGATGAGGCACTCAGACAATACTTAAGTTGGGGCTACATGTGGAATATTAATTCAGGTATTTGCTAACTTCTGAATGTTTCATTTTGCAACATTAAGAAGGTTCATGTTATCTACTTTCCTGTACAGCATCTTGGAGATGTACTTGAAATCAGTTTCAATAGGTAAGTAGGATTTATAAATTATTTTTTTCCTATCTCATTGACAAAACAGCAAATAATTGTGGGAATATCTTGGATGTGTAAGCAGAATCACTTGCTTTATTAAACCAAAATAATTATTTTCCTGCTTTCACTTTAGTCAATAATGCATTATATTCAGAACTGATATGAATATTCTGAAGTGTTTGTTTTTCTAGGAGTTCTTTTTCTGTGGTTCACTGAGTCTCAGATATTTTAAATTCTCAATTAGATTAAGGGTTGACCTGCTGGAAAGGAGGAAAGGAGGTAGTTATCCATGGGACAGCAATGTGCACTTGTGGCCAAGAAGGCCAATGGTCTCCTGGGATGCTTTAAGAAGAGTCTGGCCAGCAGGTCTAGGGAGGTTCTCCTCCCCCTCTAATCTGCTCTGGTGAGACCTCACTGGGGTGTTGTGTCCAGTTCTGGGCTCCCCAGTTCCAGAGGGACAGGGATCTACTGGAGAGTCCAACAGAGGCCACGAGGATGATGAAGGGATTGGAACACCTGCCTGAGGAGGAAAGGCTGAGAGACTTGGGGCTGTTCAGGCTGGAGAACCAAGAGGGGAACTAAGGGGGGACCTTATCAATGTCTATCAATACCTGCAGGGTGGGTGTCAGGAATGGGCCAGTCTCTGTTCAGTGGTGCCTGTGACAGGACGAGGGGAAACAGCACCAAGTGACAACACAGGAAGTTCCACCTCAACATGAGGAAGAACTTCTTTGCTATGAGGGTGACAGAGCCCTGGGACAGGCTGCCCAGACAGGCTGTGGAGTCTCCTTCTCTGGAGACATTCCAACCCCCCTGGACATGTTCCTGTGTGATGTGCTCTGGGTGCCCCTGCTCTGGCAGGGGGGTTGGGCTGGGGGATCCTTCCAGGTCCCTTCCAACCCCTCAGATTCTGTGATTCTATGAATTACCTACCAAAGTAATGACTAAATACAATGTTAATATTGCCAACTTAAATGCATGTTTTGGATTCTTTTGAAAGTATTTACCTAACATTTCTTTAATCACATCCTGCAACACAGAATACTGATATTTATTAGTACATCTGATATATGATAAAGGTCTTTTTGGTGTTTCTTATTACAGAAAAAGAAGAAAACTCACAAACAGAAGCAAATCCAATATGCACTGAACCCTTATTCTGTTAGAGCAGGCTGTTCTGCATGCATATATAAAACCAATAATCAGTCATTAATAAAGTCTGAACATTTGTAATGAAGGTCTGGTTCCAAGACCAACTCAGTCCGAGCATCTTCAGTGGATTAATTGCTATGAGATCATATATCTCAGCTGCAGAAAGGCTAAATGGAAGTTTTAATGTGCTGCAAGCCAGCTGCATCAATGTAACTTATTCCCTCTAGTCAAGCAACATAAATTTCAGAAGCAGCTATTATCCACACCTTTTCTTTTAGAGTTCTTTTAATTTTATAAATTGCTATTAGAGAAGAATTGGAAACGTTGCTAATTAGTACCATCCTTTTGAGGGCAAAGATTTTAAATTACTCCTGATCTATTACTGAACCTGTTAGAAAAGAAAAGCAGGTATCCTCATTCTAAAGCACCACTTCCTTCTCTTCCCTTGCAAGGGATAAACTTCCTTTGGAAGTGTCTCCCTTCCCAGGCCCTCATCTGAAACGGATTTGGCACTGGGTGTCTACAAAGGGACAAGGCAGGAAAAGGACTTTCAAAAAGATCTCTCCAAATCACAAAACTCTTCTGCATCCCCAACCCTCTGCAGCACAAGGATGTTGTTCAGCTGCCTCATGAGCCTCAATAGCTTTAAAGAACAGCATAGGATTTCTCTTAATTACTATTACGGTTTGAGGGACCCTCAGCATGGTGTTGAAAACCTGTAAGAGGAACTAGAGAGAGGGTCATTAAGACCCTGAAAGACCCAGGAGGGTTGGAACAGGGAGGGGTCAATATTCCCCCACTTCTTGCCATACTCTATAAAAGCAGGAGAATCAGCTCAGCCTTTTCTGCTAGAGAGCAGCAGCCCCGTGGAGAAGGACCTCAGAGTCCTGGTAGACAACTTTTCCATGGGGCAACAATGTGCCCTGGTAGCCAAGAAGGCCAATGGTATCTTGGGGTGCATTAAGAACAGTGTGTCCAGCAGATCAAGGGGGGTTCTCCTGCCCCTCCACTCTGCCCTGGTGAGACCTCACTGGACTGTTGAGTCCAGTTCTGGGCTGCCCAGTTCCAGAGGGACAGGGATCTACTGGAGAGAGTCCAAGGGAGGCCACGAGGATGATGAAGGGGCTGTTCCACCTGATGTTTCACCTGATGAAGGGGTGTTCCACCTGATGGGGAAAGGCTGAGAGACCTGGGGCTGTTCAGTCTGGAGAGGAGAAGCCTGAGGGGGGATCTAATGAATGTCCATAAACACATGAGGGCAGCAAGAAGGCAGGACAAGCTCTTGTCACTTGTGCCCTGGGACAGGACCAGGGGCAATGGATTCAAACTGGAGCCAAGTTAGTTCACCCTCAAAGAACTTCTTTGCTGTGAGGGTGACAGAGCCCTGGGACAGGCTGCCCAGAGAGATGGTGGGAGTCTCCTTTTCTGGAGATGTTCCAGACCTGCCTGGATGCCTTTCTGAGTGACCTGCCCTAGTTGTAGGTTGTGTTATTTGTTTTTTTTTGTTTGGGGTTTTTTGTAGGTTTTTGTTTGTTTGTTTTGTTTGGTTTTGTCCTGCTCTAGCAGGGGGGTTGGACTTGATCTTCAGAGGTCCCTTCCAACCCCTGATATTCTGTCATTCATTTCCTTCCTGTGCCTTCCCCAGAATCCAACTCCATCTGGTGCTGTGAGGAGCTGTGGACCCCTCTCCTGAAGCAGCCTTGCTGCAAGAGACCCTCACCCACCTATTCCTGTCATCAGCAGGATCAGGTTTGTATATATTTGTATATAAGTGTATAGATCTGTTCTTTCTCCCACCTGTTAATTCATGTCCAGTGTTGTAGTAATTTTTTTCCTGTTTCCATTTCCAACTCTTAAGTCTCTCTTCCTTATTCCCTTTCTACCTTCCCTCGGGAGGGTGGAGGGGGAGTAACAGGGAGCAATTCCACCTTCTCATTTGTGGTTTGCTATTTAAACCAGGACAATTAATTAAAAGGACCATCTGATAGAATACGCAGCGCACAATCCTAAATTAGGTTAGAGGATTAGTTTAGAGGATTTATCACCTGTAGTTTGTATGTATTTGCAGAATGGAGAACAAAATTCTCACATTAAATGGGGTGTAATTTTTAATGAGATCCATACTTAGTGTCAGAATCTGGCACCCACTACATACTTACACTGTCTCTTCTAATCCTTTGTAAATTCCTCTGCCAACACAACTAGATTTTTGCCACTGCTCCCACTGGCACCTTTAGTGGAGGGAATCCCAGGAGTGTTAGCAGATCATTTCACACCCTGCCCATGTAATGAGTATGTCAGACCTCAGGGCAGAGCCAAAAAGACCCTGCCTTGTGCTGAGGGTGGATGTAGCCCTTCGTGGCACCTGGAAGCAGCAACACGACCTGATTGCTTTAAAGCTCTGGTTGGTGGCACCCACTGGAGCCCTGCAAGTCACTCGGGTACCTGGGGCAGGCACCGCGCGAAGGAACACGAGCGCCGTGCTGAGGAGGAAGATGATGATGCCCCACATGCCTCTGAGTGACCACCTCTCACAAAATATCATGGGAAAGCCTAGTGCACTGACTCTGTAAATACAGATACGCTACCTTCTGCTTTGAGTTTCACAGGATGTGATCAATGTACACAATGTCATTTTAGTTTTTATGAGACAAGGATAAGTAAGACAAAAAGAGAAGGAATCTGCTTGTCCATGTTTTAATAATACCAGTTTTATTTAAACATATAGGCACAAGCCTTACTCAAAGAAGTCAGTTCACCTTTGAGAGTCAGTCCCTCTGAGAGACCAAACTCAACTGTGACATGAGATGGGTAACAAAGATTCCTGGGACAGAAAACACAAAGTTCAACTAACTTGGTGCAAATGATACAGCACCCTCTGAGATGGTTACAGGCACCCAGATCTCCCAGACAACTGGAAGGCACCTGAAAAATTTTGCCTAAAAATGCATTTAGTGAATGCACCTGACTTTCAGATTCTAGTTGAGGTAAGTATTAGCAACATGGGAGATAATAATATGCAGGGCTCATGTAGGTCTGTGAAATTGTTACTTTGATTGCCAGAAAAAACATGAGCCCAATACTAAGAGGTTTCACAGTCAAGATCCAACCAATGTAGGTCTTAACTGCTAAAAATATTTAAGTAAAGAGCTGACATGTCTCTACCATGGTTTCCAGAGTTGCTAATAAAGCCTTCACCTGTTCTCTAGGGAAACAAGAGAGACTTGCAGATATGTCTTGAAGAAACTGTGGCAGCTTCTGAAAAGTTTCTTTCTCTCTAAAATACGTATCTACTAACCAATCTGCAGAAAATTTATTGGTCATCTTACAGTTCTTATGAGCCTTTACTGGCAGTCCATTTGAACAAGCTGCCTCTCTGAGAGTTAAAGTAAAGGGTGAAGACAGATTATAAACTAAACACAAGTTCAGCAGCATCTTATTAAATAAAATCAACCACAGTTCTATCTGCTGACTGCAAAAGTCTTGTTCTGTGCGTTGAGAAAAGCTTTCAATGTTCTCTTCTGGATGAACAACATTCAAAAGGTCTTGCTTTACTGCTATGGACTTCACATAATCCAGTGGTGATTTTCCATTGGAGTCCCTCTGCTGTAGAAGGACTGGTCCTGCAGGGAAAATATAAACATTAATAATCACAGCAGATTTTATTTGGCAGCCTAACAAGATTCTAGTTTTGGTTTTCACCAGAAGCTAGGACTCTGTTTAAATTCCTTTTTGTATTGTCACGTTGATGTAACTGATGACTTTGCAATACAATTTGGAACATGAAGAGGATACCCTTTGTAATAGTTTCTTTACAGTATTGTCTGAATTTTCCTCCCAGTTTGGCTAGGTTGAAAGCCAAGGATTATTATATAGCAATGGAAATGAAATTCAAGTGTTGCATATCCTAAAATTTCAAGTAACAACACAGACTGTAAAATTGTAACGTTCTATTTTATAGAGCCATTTATTTGCTGAAACTGACTCCTAATTAAAGGCACATCACTATGATGGTCTTTATTTCCTTTCCTGGATGGTGTGGCCAACCTTGTCCTAAGCAATGCAGCAAGGTAAACTATTGAAGTAGGAAGTCCAGTCTGCAGGAACAACTGAGATTCAAAATTTGGTCTTAACAGACTTCTCAAATGCAAAAAGTAATTAATAAATAGATTAGAAGTAAGTAGATGGTACACATTTAATTTGTTCAGATTATGATACATTATTTTGGTACTTCCTGTTTATGAAGCTATTACTGTTTAAACAGATGTCTTGGTAAGTTTAAATAAGGCTTCATCAGTTAAGAAAAAATGAACGCAGTTACCACACTACAGGTGGTATTATTCAAAGATAAACGGATCAGGAACCTTCCTATGCAAATTTAGGTTACTATGCTAGAGTAATGGTGCCTTTTGAACTTGAGCACTTCTTCAGAAATACACTTTAATTACAAAAGGTAATGCACTGCATCACATACCCACGCTAGAGGTTTTAACTTCGCTGTGATTGAAGCTGTGTTGTGGTACTCCATCACTGATTACATCATTAACTTTTCCAAGGGGAAGGCTTTCAGGAAGTGGAAAAAGTTTTTGCAGAGACATGTGCTAAATCACTGAGCTCAGTAAATCCACACTGGTCAGAAGCTTTCCACCACTGTCTTGTCAGCTGTTTGGCAGGCGCAAACCCCAAGTGTGACAAAGGCAAAGATAAGGGCACATGCAGCCTTACGGTTGCCAGAAAACCTTGATGAATACAGGTGCAAGTAGAGCTCTTCCCCTAGGACACCAGGATCAGCAGCTACCTATTCTTCACAACAGCCCAGGAAAAAGGCACATCTGTCAGTGCAATGCCATTTCCAATTGAGGTGCTGGGCTTACTATAATATTGGCTATTGCATCACTTAGACTGATGGGTCTGAGCCCAGGTATTGGCTTGGCATGTCAGATACATGGTTCAGTAGATATATAAAACACCTGGGAGCCACAGAAGTGAAGCTCAGCAAACACAGAGGTAGGACTGCAGAGGAATGTATTGATTATCAGCCCGTGCCTGCACAACAGGCACAGAAATAGCCTTTAGGGGGCAGGAGAAGACTGTAAATACAGAGGGTCTTACGCCAAAATTTTGTTTCTCTGCCTTAATTAACAGGTCATGTAAATAAATAGAGGCCATTCTTCCTCTTCAAGGCTATAGGTAAAATGACTTTCATCAAAAATTTTGGAGGCTGCATAAAATGTAATGTACAGAGATTAAACTGACCCAGGAGGTCAATGGTAAGGATATCAAAAACACTCAGTAAGTGAATTAAAAGAAGGAAGAGTTGACATCCAAGACCATTCTTGGCAGTTATTTTTTTTAAAAAAAACACATGCTAAGGTCATTATATTGATACAGTATAGTTCAAGACAAGATTTAAGTTCCCTGTCACTGAACAAAAAATACTGTTCAAAGCATTTATCATGTGTCTGCCTAAGGGGCAATGTATCTTTTTTTAGAAACTAAGGCATCCCTCCCACTATCATCCCTAAACAGCAGTTACCACAATTACAATATAGATTCCTTTCTTAAACTAATTACCAAGCTAATTGTGTTCTTCAAAGACCATCACATTAATTTTCATAAACGCTGAACAGATTTTATGTTGAAATACACGGTTATATAGAGATTTGCTGATCTATTTTTGCATCACGGTAAAAATAGATCAAATCAAAAGAAAATACTTAGCTTCTCTTGGTGACTAGGTAATCTTTATCCTCATTAATCAGTTTGGAGAGTATAGTTACAATGCATGTGGTGTAAAATGTAGAGTAAAACCATTACCACATTGCGGGAAAAACAAAAAAAGGGAAAATCCTGGTTAATTTCACATTCAGTTGTTCAAGATAAGTGTGGAAACAGTATTGCTTTAATTGTGACCAAAGTGGCTTGGCTTAAAATCATTCTAAGACAGATATCTCACGATGACAACTTTAAAGCAGCTATGAAGGAGAAATGCCACCAACTCCATACGGAACGGATGATTTCCCTGGAACCAGTCTAGCATCAGTGCACTCACCCCCGTGCCGAAGGAGCAGCTTGCCAATTTCTACGTGTCCATTTGACAGTGCATCATGCAAAGGAGTCACCCCGTCCACTTGACTGAGCAGGTCTACCTCTGGACAGCGCTGCAAAATCTCGCGGACACACACTGTGCTGCCATGGTTACAGGCTTCGTGCAAAGGCGTCCAGCCAGCATAGTCTGAATTATAAATCAAGGCAAGTTTTTAAACAGCAGAAGTAGCACTAAGATGCTAATAACGTCACTCATTAGACAGCAAAACATTTGTTTTTGTTTTTTTTTTTTTTTGTCTCTAGGACCTATCACGGCTACAGTAGCAGCTTGTGGTTTCCAAAGGAGAAATTCTACTGGAAAACATCTCAAAGAAATTAAATAGCATGATTAAAAATCAATAGCAGACGTGATGTTACAGCTGACTGTAGTTGTAAGTTAACCCTTCCCCAATGTTTGCTATAAACTCCTCATTTTGTGCTGTTTAACATAATAATGACCGTTTTAACAGTATAAATACAAACTCTATTACCAAAAATATAATAATACAGTTTTTTACCTGGCTTAATTTCTTACTTCTGTAGAGAAAAATGAGTAACTTACCTCTAGCATTAATGTCTACTCCAGAGGAAGAGAGAAGCTGAATCAATTTCTCCACTCTGTTATTCATGCAAGCTCTATGCAGGGCTGTCTCTCCTACCATAAAAAATTAATAGATTACACTAGACTAGGCAAGATAGCAACTAAAGAAAATAATCAAAGTGCCTGGAACTAGGAGACCTGGCTATCTGCCAGAAAATTCAGTAATGAGTAAGATTCTTCCTTTATCCTTTATAAAGATCTTTTAAGAAAATAAAATTTAAAAAAACCCACAACAAAACACAACAAAACCAAACAACCCACAGAGCTTCTGTTCCACCAGAGATCCGGCAATGAAACTGTATTGCAAACGGTTTAACACAGGAATTATCTCCCCCTAGTTCAAGGTTTAAAGCTTCAATCACGCTATAAAAGCACCAAGTGAACACAGAACACAAAAAAAAAACAACCACCAACACAAAACCTGGGTTTTGAAGCAATAAAACTTTTAGAGTGCAGTTGCCTTCACTTAAATTTATTCATGAACCTACGTTAAAATGTATGGTTCTTTTTACACAGCATTTATAGCTTAATTCAAATGAACGTTTCTGGCTAAGCACGAGTGCCTCTACACACTCCAGTATAATTCAGAACTTCAGATCCGTTAACAGATGGTTTGCTGCTTCTCAATAGGCTGCCTGACTTGGCTACAGTAGCAAGGGAGGGGGGAAAAGAGAGAGGAAAAAAAAAAAAAAAAAAAAAAAGGAAGGGCCCCCACAAAAAAAAAAAATTAAAAAAAACACACCTTTTTTTTCTTTTTATTAGTTTTGATTAAACTCTATGAAGAGGGCTTTCCAAGTTAGGGATGGAATCAGTTGCTAAAACCAGAAAAAAGGAACTTTAGTTCAGAACAAATCAAAGCTTTGTATGAAAAAAAAAAAAAAAATGAAGGGCTCTTAATAATACAAATAATGATAAAAAGAAAATCCTCTGGAAAACAAAATCCCTAAGCTTAGCACCACGTAAAGCTGAAGTTAAGTGTGAAACACTGAACAGCAAGCTACCAAGAAGTGATGCTTACATGTAAAGAAACCATTAGTTTCTGCATGATAAAAACTTCAGACCCATTCTGTTTTGCTTTCACTACATGATGAGGTTTGAACAAGAGCCAGAGGAAAATCTCAATGCCAGGTGAAAGATGATGCAACAAAACATCTCATAAATGAAAAATATCTCAGGCCAAATCTCTCAGCTTTTGTGATAAGATTTACATGGTGTATTTTGCTGTATTAATATCTTCACTATGTAAATCTGTCAGCTCCATACTCATTCTTTCAACAGAAGATAGTACTTACAATTTTGGCAGGGGAAGAATAGAAAAGAAAGCAGCGTTGTTTGCTTTGGGTTTTATTCTGCCCTAGTCCTTCAGCTCACTTTTCTTTGCAGAATTCAGCATGTAATAATTCACATCAATTTTACTTGCAACAGCGATAAAGAGAAAGGGAACCAATTTAAAAAATGCATGGTCTGGCTCTGTTACTGAAGATCTCTTAACTCCCCAAAGAGGCTGAGGCTTTTTTTCTCCTTCAGAGTTTATGATACAATTCTGGTTTTAATTTTTTTAACTATCCCAGCTTGCTTTTGCCAATTTTTTCTACGCCTTCTCTTGGGTGACATATTAATATAGCTGTGTTTTAAGTGATTTTGGTAAATTTCTGATTATGAAAATGACAAAAGGTACTTCCAGCAAGTTCAGGTAAAGGCTCATGTAAAGTATGATTTATTAAATCTATGGAATAAGTAGGAACCAAACAAATTGCTGCAGTGCTGTTTTACTCCTTAGGTACTTGGGATCCAGTATAGCTAAGACAAAAGCCAAATGCCTTTCATAGTCTGGGCTGAATGCCTGGAAGAAAACAGTCCATATGCTTAACACAGCTATGTAACATAGCATACTCCTCAGTCTTTGTTCACAAAATGTCTAGGACTGAAAGAGATGAAGACTGAATTATACTTTCAAATCAGAAAACGTTGATCCTACCAAGCACAGGTTGAGGTGGATTAGCAAAGTAAGGCGGGCAAGACTGGAATGAGCTCACACAAGCTGTACACTCTATTTAATAACTGGAAGGGGGAGGGGAATGAAGGAGGCAGCTTTATTCCACCATATATACAATTCCTGCTTTTACATAGACATTGAAAAAAGAAACATGAACCATAAGAAAGTAATTATTGGGCATAAGCCATCGTTTTAGTTCAGCATTCATCAGGACTAGATTTTTAAACCTGAAACTGTCAATACTAGCCATATGAAGATCTTAACATAAATTAGATATCTAGAATACCTTTAGAATTTCTCCCGTTCAAATGTACCTCTTCAGCCAAAAGGTAGCAATTCTCTTTGGTGCATGAAGCCTCAACTTTTGTTTTTTTTGTCCTCTGCTTCTTTGTCAATGGAGAGCTTAAGTCACTGAAAAGAGAGCAAAGGGGAAAAAACTAAAATAGTTGTTTTATATTTTAAGATAATGTATGCTTAATGCTTCTAAATGTGTATATACAGTGTACTTAGATCTACCCATTCCAGAGTTACTTCTGGAATGTCTTAATTACCTAATTTCTATGTCATTTATTTATAACTGGATTTAAAACAGTATCAAAACTAAATTATGGGCAATCTAACTTTCTTCAGAGGTAACTCTATGAAGAGTTCCACTTCTGTATGTACCCTTTAATATTAGGAAAATAAAACTACATCAGGCTGCACATACACCAAGATGGAGGATGGGGAGAGAAAGAGGGAAGCCCAGCCAGAGGTGTTAGAGGTTTACAACAGAGCTTTTTGTCAGCTGCAGTAATTTGTAGACAACAGAACAGGTCATCTAAAGTTCAAGAAATGTGTCAGGTCAGAAGCTGTCCCCCAAAGCAGAATAAAACTGGTGATGTTATAGGTATTACTCACGGTAGATCAGGCAGCTCTTTGACTTGGTTCTGCTTATCGCCATTTAGCATCTGTAATGCCCTTTGAGACCCAGGGCACAGACGTTTCCCTCTTCTCTTTGTCTTTGCACTGTGTATCCTTCCTCTCTCATGCATCTCTAGCTCTCGTAAAGCAGGCAAATAGGAACCGACCTGTTGCAAAAGTAACAGTTTCAATGACTCTGCACACAGTAAATTAAAGGCAGCGTTTTGTTGCACTTCACACAGAGCAGCCCTCCACCATCCACAGCTTGCTGCCCCTCAGCTTTTACATATATGATCCATGAGTGATGGCACAGATATGTTGTTTAAACGGATCTGCTGCTATCTCTTCTTTTTTTTACCTTCTTTATGTTTTTATACTCACCTTTTAGGCTGGCCTCAAGAGGTGAGTGAGCTGTGTTTGAGCCAGAATAGCAGGAAATTCTAGGCCTCTCTCTTGGGTTTTTAGTAGCTGAGAAGGTTTTGATCATTTTATCTGGACATAAGACTGAAGTGAAGCTGATTGATTCTTAGGTACTTTATGAAAGTATTCACAAAGTACCTGCCTCCAACCCAGGGAACAAAATTCAGGGAGCAATCTGATGAAGAAATACTGCCCTCCTTCATCTGTTTTAAGATGAGGGGTAAGACTGAGTATTGTGAAAGCAATAAGCTAGTTAACTCTTAGATGCTCCCATAAAATTAGCAGAGCTTTAAAGGTTGCATATATGATGGCTTCTTTCCAGTAACAGAGAACTTCCAAGCCTTCTAGACTGCTCATTTTAAAAAGTCATATAGCCTTCTGCAGTCTGGCAAAAGCACAGGAAGAAGTCCAGAGAGGGGACTTGTTCAATGATTACACAAGTACTATATCCAAAGAAAGATGGCGAAGAAGGCTTGGAGTATCTAGCAGATCACTGTAGACTCTGCAGGCAAAGAGCAAGGGGTGAGAGACATTTACTTGCACTCTCACTGTACATTTATGGCCAAAGAATCCACAGAAAACCCCAGCTGATAAGATGTTGTATGAGAGGAGCTGGCAAAATTGGACAACAGTTAGTAATTATGGTATGGAATGAGAAAGGAGATAGGGCAATATTAAGTAAAGGCACAAAAAGGACATGAACTTGTTCAAAGCACTACAAAAATTTACATTTAAGTAGTTGCAGAGAGTGATCAGTAGTCATGGCAATACTAAAAATAGCAGTTGCTGCTGCGTCCGTGTTGGTAACATACATTAACATTCATTGGTTGAAAGGAAGAAGTCAGAGTTGTGGTCAATGGGACAGAATCCACTTGGAGGTCTAGTGGAGTCCCTCAAGGGTTGGTACTGGGATGGGTACTATTCAATATTTTCATCAAGGACCTGGATGAGGGTATAGAATGTACCCTCAGCAAGTTTGCTGATGACATTAAGCTGGGAGGAGTGGCTGACACACCAGGAGGCTGTGCTGCCATTCAGAGAGACTTAAGACAGGCTGGAGAGTTGGGCAGGGAGAAACCTGATGAAGTTCAACAAGGGCAAGTGCAGAGTCTTGCATCTGGGGAAGAACAAGCCCAGGTACCAGTACAGCTTGGGGGCTGAGCTGCTGGAGAGCAGGGTAGGAGAAAGGAACCTGGGGGTCCTGGTGGGCAGGAGGATGAGCATGACCAGCAATGTGCCCTTGTGGCCAAGAAGGCCAGTGGCATCCTGGAGTGCATTAGAAAGGGGGTGGTTGGTAGGTCAAGAGAGGTTCTGCTCCCCCTCTATTCTGCATTGGTGAGGCCACATCTGGAGTATTGTGTCCAGTTCTGGGCCCCTCAGTTCCAAAAGGACAGGGAACTCCTTGAAAAGAGTCCAGGGCAGAGCCACAAAGATGCTGGAGGGAGTGGAACATCTCCCTGATGAGGAAAGGCTGGGGGAGCTGGGTCTGTTGGGCTTGGAGAAGAGGAGATTGAGGGGCAACCTCATCCATGGTTACAAATCTGTTCAGGGCAGTCCTGGGCCAGGCTGCCCAGGGAGGCTGTGGAGTCTCCTTCTCTGGAGACATTCAAACCCCCCTGGACACGTTCCTGTGTGATTTGCTCTGGGTGCCCCTGCTCTGGAAGCGGGTTTGGGCTGAGGGATCCTTCCAGGTCCCTTCCAACCCCTCAGATTCTGTGATTAAATATGAGATACATGGTTGGTTTATTTTTAAAATTCTGACAGACCTTTGTTCAAGCTCTGGTTAAACACGATGTATTAATAAACAATGATCTCTGTTCACAACAAACTCCTGCAACATTCAGGAAAAATGTATGTATGGGAAACATAAAAGTATAAATTTGCTTTTCTCTGACTCTACCTGTAGAATTGTAGGACATATGGAAACAGTTACAGATTCCATATTCTGTTTAGTTGTTAGCATTAGGATTATTGAAATGAGGTCCCATGTTTGGGTATGCCATTACATGTGATCCTGCATTACCATGCTGCATCCTGGCAGCAGTCAAGGTTTTGAGAATTCCTTTCACAGCTTTCATCATGCACTTCCTCACCAACTACGAGAAATTGTGATTTGAAGGCAGGAAAAGGTCTGAAAGTGGAAAGTTTAAGAGGGGGAATTCACAGGAATACACTGTTGTTCAAAATTACAAAAACTTGTGTGTAACAAATGCATGGACTCAGCAGAATAATAGACTGCCACCTTTTAAAAAAACCTGAAGGAAAAGATAACCCAGGAAAATCACACTGCTTTTGGCATTTTCCTTAATTACAAATGTAACATTGCAATCAAGTCTTTACACCAGAGATTTAAAAAAAGCTATCCTTCTGACTTTTCTTGTTAACTGAATGTAAACAGATTAATCAGGTCTTACAAGTTCTCCAGCAAGAAAAATCTTTCCATAGTTTTGAACCAAGATCTTGGACAAAGAGAAATTTAAATGCAGTATTCTATCTACAGGTAGAAGACAATGCATGCAATAAGCATGACTGTAGACCACAAAATAAAGATATTTTCCAAGACTTTCATGAAGCAAGTTACTTGTAAAGTACTCTAAGTGTGATAAGTTATTAAGAAGAATTACTTACTATTTTCTGAAGAGAAAGAGGTTGCACAGAAAGAGTTACATTCCTCTGTAAACATATTTTTTTAAAAAATGCTTCTGCAACAAACATTTGAAGCCAGGGGGATGGTATGGAACAAATGAATGTCTTTAATTCACCTATTGAAAAATCTGGATAAAAGCAAAAGAGCCTTAAAATTAGAATATATAAATCTGCACACATAGAGTTTTCTAGTAGTTCTTCCAGAATTTTTTTTCCTCCTATTGCAGACTCCAAATAATAATCATATTTTAAAAGATTTTATCTATAAACTGATAACAGGACCAGCTTCTAAGAGAATGGTCAACAGATTTTAAAAGGCAAAGCACCAATTATTATGTGAAACTTAAAAAATAAAATACTCTAAATGTCATCTTTTCAGAATGAAATTCCTAATTTTTTAAGTTATGCCAGGGATCACCTTTAAAATCTTACACAATAGAAACACACCTCACATAAAATGCATAACACCTGACCAAAGACATCTGCAAGTAGCGAGTGACCTATAAATCCTACATTAAAAGTGATCATTAGCAAATTTAATTTCCATTTAGACGTAACAAATAGTACATACTGTTTGTTGTGTTGTTTTTTTTTAAAAAAAACAACCACCAAAACAGACAGTGGCAGAAAAATATATCTCTCTATGTATCAGGCACGTGTCTGACCTTTCTCTCTTTTTTGGGAAAAAGGAGACAGAGTGACTGATTCTTCTCATATTTGTATTTTGATTCTAGCAAAATAAGTTTGTCTAAATACCAACTGAAGCAGGTGGAGAGCAAGGTCTACCACGAGGAAGAAAGTCTTTACTATAAGTGCTCATTTGCTAACTGATTAGCAGACTCAATCAAAACAGAAACACAACTTTGGAGAGTACAGGTGTTTTCTGATCTAAGAGCAACCAAATTTAGGAGAATTATAAAACAGGTTTTTGGTTTTTTGCTGGGGATGGGCAGACAGACACAATAAAACAAGTTCCCTGCATGTGTACACATTGCAGCATAACACAGCACAACCGCAACAAAAGGTGAAACATAACTTGAATGTAAATCAAGGGCTTTAATTTGGACTTTACAGTGTTATCTAGTTGAAGACTTTGAGAGGCCTCTCCAACACTCACCGTCACAAGAAATGGCAATGTAATGTGCTAAACCATCAGCTATTTGATGAAACACATTTCTGTCCATAAGCAAACCTGAGATGATCCAATATTCCACTACCATTCCAAGAATTGAATTTAATAGACGAGCTATTTCACATCTGAAAGACTAAATTGGAAAAAAAAAAAAGTTATATATAGTATCCACAGACCTGTCCTGTATAACAACATGCTGATAATGCACCAGTAAGACATTAGAGAAGTTATTTAGAAGAAAGCCCACTCTGTTGACACATCACTTCTTTGCTGTAACTTTTTTTTTCCTCAAAAGCAAACGGTTGCACCCAGTTCAAGAAAATTTATGTGCCACTGATTCCACATTGGTAAGGATTCGCCATTGGAAAACTAAAAGTCGTTTGAAAACATACTATCTAAACCAACATGCAAAATGGGATCAAAGCTTACAAGCACAAATTGTGTTTCTTTTTAAAGTAGGTTTTGTTTAACTGTGAGATTTCAATTATTGCATTTATGCTAGTTAACCTTGTGTTTAATTTGACAATTACAGGTATCTTATTCTCCCTGCTCCATTAGGATACTCTTTTCCTAAATATTTCATAATTACATTAATGCTCCTTTATGACAAACTGAGTATGACCCTGCCAAAAGGGAAAACTATGCAAGGTGTTAAGTTTCCTGCACAGAAAAAAAATAATAAATCTGTCAGCTAGTTTATAGGATTAGGAAACTTTCTCCTCCTACCAAAAATTCCAAAGAGACTAGCAGCTGCAAGCTGAGAAAGAACATACCTATATGTATCAGCCTTACCTTTTTCTCCCCTGAACGGGCACAAAAATAGTCATGGGTAGATAAAAAGCCAAAGTTAATTTTCTTCAAGAGGCATCAAGACAATACTCAGCACTTTTAACGTGCTATCCAGAAAATACTATGAGATAGGTGAACGTATTTTTTCCACCCATTTGAGCACTTCATCAGTATTGATTAGGTAAAGCAGTACTTCCAGTGTCTGTGTTAGTCTGTGCAAAGTCAAGTCAGATGTATCTACTAAATACCTTTCTGTGCTATGTAGAAGTATTTTATGTAATGATCCTGAAATAAGTTATTCCTCTGACCACATGTACAACCACAGAAAATTCTGTATTTGTAGGTCAGTTTTGAAAGAGCAAATTGGAAGAATATGTGCACCACAGTGAGGACACATGAAATTCATTTGTCCAAAGACACTTACCTAAGGCTCTACCAGAGAATCACTACTGCTACAACAGAACACCAGCTGAAATTTTGCATTCTAGTGAAAAAGGAGTACTTTAAAATGAATAATTGTATCTAAGAGGGAAACTGAACTGAATATGTACTTACTTATTTGTCAGCTTTTTAAAGAGTTACTAAAAGGAAGTAAAACTTTTCTGTATGTGCACACCACAGTCAATGGTTTGTCTGATACTCCTCTGAGAACAAAATATGTTCCAGATTGGTTTAAAATCATTTAATAGGATTCTCTCAGGAGCTCCAAAGCACTAAAGACTGAAACAGTTTGAGCTTCATCAATAAATCAGACAGACATATAGAAAAGCAACAGAGACTGTGACATGGATGAGATTATAAAATGATCATAAAATCATTTGCCAAAAAACCTACATACTCTCCCTACAGTAAAAAGACTTTTGTGTTATTCAAAAGGAATAAACACAATTACACTGTGTGGGGAGGCAGTATAAACTCCATCACTCAATGCTTATAAGAATTGGCCAGGCAAAATCTGCCAGGACTGTGATCTCTGAGATCACTTCCTGCCCTCCTTCCTCTTAACTCTGTTAAGCTTTATTAGATTTGGTTTGCTCCTTGCTTTAGTGTACCATAAAACTGTATTGTAGATTAAATGTGGGATCTCACAGCAAAAATAACTGTGAACATTGATATGGCATGTCAAGAACATGAAAATATTTTTTTTCAACTAAAATGAAAATATTTAACAAGCTACGTTACTCTGTATCTTCTGAGGATTCAGGAATAGAAACTGAAGAAGCCATTTAAGACATCTGAAATGCATTTAAATTTTCCTTAAATATTCATATGTTTTTTATCATTAGACCTCAAAGCAAAATTCTGGGGGGAAAAAACGTAATTGCATCAATAATTCTTTGCAGGAAATAAATTACACAAATGCAGCAAATAAGCACAATTTTAACAGAGGCAAGTGAGAGGATCAAGGACATAGAGATGCAATCTGAGGTAGATACAGATGTAAGGCACAAGGATTTACACTCTCTTTCTTGTTTCCACCTCACAAGCTTGTACCACTTCATCTATGTAACGTGCAAGGAAACATGTGGTGAGCAAGAGCTGATCTTGAGGCAGCAAATTGAAATGATGGCTGTTAATACTGTAAGTATTAATAATGGTCCACAGTTACATATACAGCTGCTAATTAAAGGTGCCTGAGACACTAGTTGCAACTCTGTTTGCTTAGCTAAGTATCCCTACACATTGACAAACCAGATACTGCCAACTGGTGTAGGCTTGGTTGACAGTTTGGTAAAACAACTGCAGCACAAAGAACTTCTCCTTAATATTTTGAAATAAAGCGTTAAATGCTACAAAGGAGGGGGAAATGCTCTAATTTACTGGAAGTATGATATCCTCTAAAAATATTTTAATATTAACATCTTAAAAAGATTTTCATTTTCAACCACAAACCAATACAAACATACTAATGAAAACACATGCAATATTAAAAATTAAAAGGAACCAAGCACTTCCACCGAACATGGGAATTTCTACCATGTATGACAGCACTGAGTTCTTTTCTTTCTCTCCCTCTGCCCAGCCAGCAGGTGAGCTGTGTGTGTGCAAGGAGCTGGGAGGGGGCACAGCCAGGACAGCTGACACAACAGGACCAAGGGGATATGTTGGCAGGGAGCTGAACCAGTGGAGGTTTAGGTGGGATATCAAGAAAAGGTTTTTCACCCAGAAAGTGGCTGACCACTAGAACAAGCTCCCCAGGGAAGTGGTCCCAGCACCAAGCTTGCCTGAGCTTAAGAAGTGTTTGGATGATGCTCTCAAGCACATGGGGTGATTCTTGGGGTGCCCTACAAATGGACAGGAGTTGGACTTGATAATTCTGATGGGTCCCTTCCGACTCAGCAGATTGTATTATATAGCATGCCCTGCCCTTCAGGAAACAGCTGGATGTCTGCCTGCTGATGGGAAGCAATGGTTTAATTCCATATTTTGCTTTTGCTTTGCTTCACTCCCTGAACTGGCTTTATCTCAACTGCTGAGTTTTCTGGTTTTTGCCCTTTCAGTTCTCTCTCTCATCTCGCTGAGGGTGAGTTGAGTGAGTGGCTGGGTGGGGACTCACCTGTCAGCTGGGGACAAACCACTACACCATGCACAGCAAATTAAGATCCAGTTCAGCCTTTTTTTAAAAAAAATCCCTTCCTTGTTCTTACTCTTGAGAATCAAAGCTATCTCCCCAAGGAAAGCCTTGAAGTGGGAAGGGGCTGTTGCCTGTGTTAACATACAAAGGTCACCTGAGCAAATGCAATTTCTACATTCCTGTTCCATTTAATGCTTTGCCAAGGCAAGTGCTGCAGTGAAAGAAGTTTCAGAGTGTTTCAGTACAGAGAAAAGTTACTGTAGGAAAGCTTTAAAGTCTCAGGAAAATTAATTTTAACTTTTTTTTATTTCAAACTAAAGAAGAGATCTTCTTAGGGGTTCTTTTTCATGTGATTTAAATGTTTTTAGGGTTATGCAGCGCTCCACAAATGCCTAAAACAAACTTCCAGGAAAGCTATTGGAAGTGACAGACAGACCAGAAAGATACTTAGATCTACAGATTTCCACCACATGGATTTATACCAGCTAATGTTACCTGGAACGTGGAAGAAAACAAATTGAAAATATGCAAAATTATGCAACTAAAAAACTAAATTAATGCCTTCCTCATTCCTTTGTCAGGCTAGGAAAGACAGCTTTTTAAAAAAAAAACCAACACCAGTATCAGGAATGAAAAGCATTTCTGACAGCATTTGTAACATTGTAAAAAGCCATGTAATAGCTCAATGCTACTCATAGTGATATGACCAACAGACACATTCCCTTCTAAATTCAAAAACTAAAATAACAGGTTTGATTCAAGGAACCTTGAGCAGGAATTTCCACATCAAATCTATTTGAATAATACAATAAATAATAAATCTTATTTGTATCAAGATTATATTCACTATTGATGGAAAGATCTCAAGTCTTCCTCAAGTCAAAACTTCTATGTTGCAAGGCATTTTTAAGCACAATGAATTTTAATCCACCAAGTTGTCCCAGTAGATTACCACAGTGATGAGCGAGGACATGCAATTTCCTGTCACTAATTTCATTCTAGTACTTTTAAAATAAAGTAAATCCTACCTAACACAAGAAAGCAAATGCATTCATATATGTAAGTTAAGTCTTTATAGCCCTCCATTCTTTGTTTTTCTTTTTTTTCTGATGTAGGTTACAACAGGCCTGAAAAATGAAACACCTAAATAGCTTGTAAGCCAAGAAAAGCAGTTAGTTTTTCAGAATTTCAGCACAGATTTCCTCACTTAGAATGCTGTAATTGTTCCTGGATTGCTCTTTTTACACACACACACACACACAGAGGTTTACACATATGCATATATATAAAACATAACTTTGCAACAAATTAGCAGCAGAAGAAAGGAAACATACAGAATTGCACAGAAGTGCAGTTCTTCACAATGGGCATTTTCTACCCACAAACTGATGTGGAAACTGGGAAATTAGAGTCAACCCTTTACACTATGCTATAAAACACAACTTCTCTGCTTATGCAGACAGCAAGAACACACAAAATCACTCCTCTCATTTAGGTTTCTGAATGGCTTTACATGTTGCCTCTTAAACAAACAATTTTTAAAAAACAAAACTGGTAACAATGACTCATACCCTTACAGTAAATGCAGGAAGGAGAGTTTTGCTGCATTTAATGTCTTGGAAATACTGCAGATTTATTTATGCATCTCCAAAATAAAAAAAATAAAAATATATAAAACACAGTTATGCCTACATAGGTGGGGAGGATCTGCTCCTTTGGCTTTCTGAATGACCTCTTCAACTATGTCATGGAATCTTAAATGGAAGTCTCTGAATATATGGAAAAACTCACTACCTAAAGTTTTAGGATAACAAAATTGAGAGTGCAGAACTGGATAATCAGAAGTTTTGAATCCAAGGATATCGTAGGTTTTTTTAGAGGTGTTTTTTTTGCCAAAAGTGCAAAGGGAAAGTAAATTAATTATATAAAAATGAAGTTAAAGAATAAAGTTAACGAGTAAGGCTGTAAGAAAGAAAATGCCACATTACAGATGCTATGAGGCAACAATATGCCTCAGCTGCTTTTTAAGGCTAGGATTCATATCTGCAGGGATACTGTACATTGCAGTGCATAAGATCAAAGTGGGAAAGCAACAGGCATCTGGGTTTTGTGCTGAAAGTGTAATTCATGTGTATGTATATAAAGAAAACAGAGTCTAAACAAGAGAGAGGTCTCTGTGTTTCATGTTACGTTTTATTCTTTCTTTTAAGTTTATTTTTCATATATGTACTACACTCTGGCTGACACAAGTGATTATTCTGCTTATGCAAAGAACAGTTGAAAAAGGTAAGGCTTATAGTGCTGGAACTTGTCAAAAGAAGGCATAGTAGAAAAAAGAAAATGGTGCCTACACTTAAACTGCAGATTCAACACCAGGAAACATATGAAAGCACTCTCATTTTCCAAAGAAGCCGAATGGCCACTGACACCAACTGAATGCAAGCCTGCTTGGGGCTCAGTACCTTTGAAAAGGTAGGTTGTTTAAATATAAATATGGGTATAGAAGCCTAAATTTAGGCACGTTTTTCATATCTTGACCAAGGATAAAAGGCAGCACTGTTTCAGAATGTCTTGCTTTGATAGCCCTCAAAAAAGGTAGGAGGTCTGGCTAGGTAAGATGAGTGAAGCTTCTCATTATGTTTAATCTTTCTGCTTTCTTAACATAATGAAGAACTACTAGGTATTATATTGAAAGTGCTTTTTTCTCTGGAATACTTGCTTTTCTATTGTTGTTCTGTTATTGTATTGAAAAAGTGAATGAAGGACCTATTTATTCTGTGCTTTCACAGTAATTTAAAAGAGAACGCAGAGACAGCAGTAAGTTTGTATTTTATGTGAGAATCTAGAAGTCAAAGATGTTTTACAAGGCCTCTAGCTTCTGAAAAGAAAGAGGTGGTATAGAGGACACTCAGTATCTCTCAGGTCAATGTCCTGCTGGTCAGGAGGTCACAGAACAGCAATTAAGTTGCCTTCAATTCCATTTTTCTGAAAAGACCTAGGGAAGATACCAAATGAAACTAAAGGACTTGGGAAGAAAACTGGGGCATTTATTAAAATAAAATTATGCATATCTGTAGAAAACAGCAAAAAACTACTACTTTTGTTAGCTTTCTCCTTCCAACATTTCCTGAATACAATCACTGTACAATAAGATAATCATCTCTTTCGTTATACCTTATTGTTTGACAGAATGTGTTAAGCTGGTGTCCCTAATGACTACAGTAATACCTGCTGGTAAGGGCATGTGAACATCTGAATGTAGCCAACAAGCTACTCATGACTCGTTTCTTCTCTTCAGATCAATATGAGAATCTTATGGATCAATTCATTTCCTTTTGTGGAGCAAAACCCAGCATGCTTCACAACAAAAGGCAGCTATAACAAGCAGCTGTGATACTTACATAAAATTCCTCACAAAGGAATGAACAAAGGAATGTCTTTAAAAAAATACACGTCAGTCTTCATTATTTTAAAATATAAAATTCATACTCACGTAATTTTTTCTATTCAATTCTCTATGGGAAAGTATGACCCAATCTGCTAGTATATTTATGTGTTTGGTAAAAAGCACTGAAGTTTCTCTTTCCAGCCAAAAGGTCTTCAGAAGAACTGTCTGTGGCATGACTTGCTGACGCTGTGAATTGGTCCCTTCAACCAAACTGTAAGAAAAAGAAAGTAAAAACCCCCTAAATCTTTATGCTACTTTGATTACTATAGATAGCAGACAGAAACCTTATCTTCTGTCAAAATACACAAAGGTTTGGTAATTTTAAGTATGGAAATATCAGACACAATTTCTGATGAATTATAAGTAAAATAATGATGACTATTACAGTCAGACTGAAGGAATTCAAATATTGTGCTAGCATTACATGAAGTAAAGGCTGCCTTTACCATATAAACGCAGAATAAAATAAATATTTTTATAATTCATAAATGAAGGAAAGATAATTGTTTTTTCAGCAAGAGAAAAAGGCAATTTTAATTGAATTAAAAAAAATAAAAACCAGTATGTTCCAAATCCTGCTTGTCTATCTTAGAGGTAGACTACTGTAACATGGCAAAGCTAAAAATACAACTTTGTGAGCAAAACTGAAGGCTTCCTGAAACTTGTAATAGTGGAAAACACACTGTGAAAGGCTATAGCCCAAAAAACCCCTTATAAATATTGCAATAAATAATCTAATAATTGAAAAATATGAAAGAAAACGCTAAACACTGCATTTCCATAGAACAGTATCTTATCAGGGACATAAAAAAATTAGGACACAACCAGCTGTAGACACAGAAATGCGCGTGATTTTGTGAAAAAGTAGTTAAGTATTATCCTATAGAACCCACCTTTTTGTCAGAAACTCTACTTCAGCTTTTACTAAATCGAAGAAAAACTTCAATAGTGTTTCATGAACTACCTTCTGTTCCTCTTCTCTTCCTGAGACTGCATGACAAATGGTTTTGCCATAAAGGCAAGAGCTGAAAAATAAATACCAAAAAACCCATTTGTATGATGAAAAACACATATTGGCAAAAAAAGTCAGCTTTCAAGTTTTGACCATTTTGACAAGGAAATATCTTGCCCCCCAGTAATTTTTAAAAGCTTAACTTCCTGGTTTTCAAGCTGAACTTAGAAAAAAAACAAACAACAACAACAGAAAAAATCCACCCCAAAATCCATGTTTGTGACTGCAGATACGTATTGTAGATTAAGATTTTGTATTATAGTGTAAACAAAATAATTTAATCATATTTAAGTTTTCTGTCTCTACATTAAATACTGCACAATTATATAATAGAAATTCTTAAAATCCTTTAATTCCAAGATAGTCTTGAAACATTTTTAGGCATTGTAACACGCTAATTTCCTCTTCAGATAACAGTCCACACATGCTATTTGACAGGACGCTGTTTCTGACCAGGTCTAATGATTGTCTAACATGATGGAGATAATTTTACAGTAAAGTGTGAAAAACTTTTTTTTTTAATATAATTTTGAGTGTTAGAAAGAAGATGTACAAAAACCTGTCAGGTATACAATGCTGGGTATTCACATTCTGCCAGTAAGTACAAAAAGATAAAATTCTATTCCATTCCATGTGACATGTTCCTAATAAAAACTATTACATGTCAAATTACAGTGATTCCAGGACAGTGATCTATGTCCCTGCTCACTGCAGGGGGGTTGGACTAGATGACCTTTAAAGGCCCCTTCCAGCCTGAACCATTCTATGATTTTATGATTCAATGCCCTTCAAGAATATAGACATGCTTTCAATCATACACATTCATGTATCTGCAATCACAGCTGTACCAAAGTATTTAAATGTTACTTAAGATTTTATGATAGCAATAAGAAGAGGTAGAGTTTCTCTTCCAAATGAATGTAGTAATTCATTTCTATTGATGTAAATTACCAAAAAATGAGTTCTCAAGCTAAAGCTGCTGAGTGTAGTATTAGTAGATGTATATAATCAAGACTTCCTGAACAGGATAGTAAAGTTTATTATTAAAATCAAAATACAACACAAAGTTTCAGTTTTTGGTAAAGACTGGAGTTTGCTTTGTAACTGCAAATATATGTGTGAATATACACATATACACACACCAAACCAGCAACAATAAATATATTATTCTAATTTTTTAAACAGCTTAAAAAAGAAAAAAAACAAACCCTCCTTTAAAAAGAGAGAACAAGAATATTTACATTTTCTCCTTTCCATAAACCCCTGCTTTGTCTGTGAGCTAACAAATACTGAAACATAAAGTGAAAGGTCCGTATCTCAGTTACAATCCTAGACCTTCACATACAGTTAACTCGTTCTGGTAAAAATGAGACTTCGATACAACAGAATTCAAACTCTCCTCCCCCATCCCTCAGTATGTTGGACACTACTGTGTCCAACACCTCCTTAAACTTTCTCACCTTACAAGTGTCTCTATTAAGGACCATGTGCCTTTCTTACAGATTGGACACTGAAGGAGATCCAAATAATACTTTAACATAGACGGGGACTTCCAAGGAGGATCACATTGGAGAACAAGGTACAAAACATGATTAAGTTTAGCATAAAATATTCCATCAGTATTTCCCTGTAACAAATGAGAAAATAACATTGGCTACATGTTGGCCAAAGATCCACAAACACAAAAAGTTTATACATTGTCCTTATTCCTTAGAATCCCAAGTGTGGTATTTCAGCTGAATGCATTACGGCTTAGAGAAGAAGGTTTTGTTCAACTGAGCATTCTGTGTCCTACGAGGTTAAAAAAACCAAAATCACATAAATGCTGTTTCTAAAAGCAATAAAAAAAAATCTGGTCCATTTATTCCACAATATTTAGAGCACTACTTGTATGACTTGTAAATATGTAATTTTTTTTTATTCCAAATGTATTAAATTCTTCCCCTTCTCACACGAATACATTGATGAACACAAAGTGTGGGGTTAATACATCACTGAAACCCACAAAACACAGGGTCTGAAGCAAAGATATAATACTTAGATTTCTTGCTTTAATATTTATCATCCTGAAGTCTACATCTCTCACCAATAGGGCATGCTCTAGAAGAGCATGAAGAAGTGGCACGGGAGGTGTACAGTACTTTTGTCCACCAGCAAGTTCTGTGACTAAATCAATAAACAAATACTCTTCCAATAATCCTTCAAGTACACGCCATGTGCCTCTGGACTGTTGAGTATTTTTAACCTAGGAACAGAATATCTTTGTAAGTAAAAGAACAACTAAATAAATAAACAACAGTGCAAACAAAACCAGCCTTACAAGAACTAACAGGAAATCCTTAAGGAAAATGCTGGTAATAAAACAAGGAGAAGAGTGTAAACTATGTCAGAAATACTACTTATTGCCTGACTCAATAAGCTGCTGTCATCTAGAAAGGCCTTTACTCTTTATGAACTTGGCTTTCATTGAAAAGATAACAGGTTTCAGAATGTGCTTCTCTTCTTACAAGATCTGACCACATCAGACATTTTAAAAAACAAATCAAAATTCACATACTCAATAACTTGTCTATAATTTATTCCAGAAAGACATGCTAAGGAGTCCTCGTATTTCTAAAAGTGCAGAGTACATCCCACAGTACATGAATGGAGCAGTAAAATAATTACTACAACTGAATGGCTAAAAAAAATTAGAGGAAAATGTAAAAATCACAAAATACGTAATTTACGAGTACACATTATAAAACCATAAACCTTGTAACTGTTTTATCTCCCTAGCTCTTCTATTCGCACCTAGCATGTCAGAGAAGCAGCTAATGCTGCAGATAGCACAGGTATAGATCCCAGTGGATTTCAAACTTCTGAAGATCTTAATGGCACAGAACTTCCCTCTTACTCCCTACCACTCATGACAGCAGAACACAACTTCACAAGCTTTCAGAAGACCCAGAAGGATCTAATGGCTTTCAAGAAATGCCATATCTGCCCTGCATTTTCTGTTATTGTCTGTACTCTCAGATTTCCAAACCTTTATTTCCATGGATTAATGATACTGAAGAGGAGCTACAGAAGATCTCAGACACTTTGCTCTTTACATCTTTCCTCTAGCCCAGCTTCAAGCCAAAGCAAAGATGCATAAACCAGTGCAGACACACTACTAACTGAAGTAGAGCTTCCCTCTGGCTGATAATTTCTCTTCTGAAACCCAGCTACTCTGACCACAAAGCCTCAGGTTCTGGTAAATTCAAAGAAACTGGGATAGTATCTGAGAGAGTGAAGGAAAGGGAGTCCTGATAGAAGGAGTCAGGAAGATCACTGATTGGCCTGCTTTACTGATTTACTACTACTTTGGTCCATAACAAGTTGTAGACTTCATTACCTCTGTCAAAAAACTTGGCTCCTAATATATGTTAGATAAAGGTACTCCATCCTAACAATTGTTTGAAAATTAGTTTTAAATTTAAATTAACACAGACTTTGATTCCAGTTGTGGTTTGTAGGTCTACATAGTACACTGCTATTAGCAAAGTAATTTCAAAAAAATGTTTGAGCAATAAACTAATCTTTGGGAGTTTTGGTCAAACCTGATCCTAGTTAAATCACTGCTAAAGTCTCAGGAAATTAGCTCCACCTTTGTATCAGATACTTAATTTCTCTATAAACTTTTCATGTCTCAGATTTCTAATGTATGCCATTGTTACACTGACAATAAATATAGCTGCTCACCTAGATAATTTTCCTTTAAATCAAGTCTTTGTGCATCTGGCCTTTGCAATTCACATTTATTTCCATTTTCTCATTCATACATGCACTATTAAAATCTTCACATTATTTCCCTTGGAAATAATGGTTGCATTCATACTTTTCTAATGTTAATTATATGCAAACAGCACCTCTAAAGAGCAATCATAAACTGTTGAATGGCAAAGAACAACCTCTCTGTCACCTGGATTTAAGGTATGTGAAGCTGACGTGGCATATTCTGCAGGTGCAAATGTGTTAAAGTCTTTTCACATTGCGATTGAAACTTTTTATCTCTTGAAAATTCCAGTACTAGAAGAAACAGTAACCTGGATGGACTGATGTACAGTACACAGCAAGGAAGCTGTTTTGGGAGAGCATGAGCCCTTTGGCTCTGCATTCAAGAGGGAGCAGAGGACTGGTTTTCAGCTTGTATGAAATGGAGGATGACAGAAAACCAAGGTGAGGAACTTTGCTCAGGATCAGGAGACACCTTTTGTAGGGCCTTAATATCCAACAGGCTGTTCAAAGCTGTGCTGGCTCACGTTCTGGCTGATGAGGAAACAGCAGTTCCTTGGGAAGTACTGCTGGTACAGCCACTGAAGCTTTAAGCAGAAACAAATGAAAGATGAAGGTCCACTGAAAATAAGCTGTGTTTTACACAGCATAATGTGGTAGAGAAGCTGGCAAAAATACAAAGATTTTAGGGAAGGTGAGAGATAACAGCTGAGTTAGCTGAGTAACAGATGCAAACTGAGGTTACTCTATATGGTATGTGGTTCTAACCTGTTGATTTAGCTCCTAGGCTTTATTTTACTTCACTGGTATTATTGGAAATGTTTATTGGAGCTGTTTTAAAACGCCATAAATATCCTGCCTATAAAAGTCCTGTATCAAATGTAAAGGCCAGCAACAGGTATTTCACTAAGCAATAAAGGACAGTGGCAGATCATGCGTAACAGAAGTATTAGAATTAGGCTTAAAATTTCCAAACAAAAAACTCTATTATTATTAAGAGTACAGAATAACAATTTCAGCTTACATGTCTTTAGAAAGCTACAGGGTTTTTTCCACAAACTCAGTAATCTAAATATTCATGTCAGATTTCAATGCAAATCTGTGCAGTAACAGAAATGCACAGGACATTTTGTCCATTAATGGTAGTGCTGGAAAATGAGAAAGATATTTTAGTGCTCATGTTCTTAAAATATTTTTCACCTCCCTTCCTTATTCTGTCAATACAAAGAAATGAAACAGAAAGGGGTTTCTGTGATGCCCCAGAGATCCTTTTGTCAGACTGGGACCTCATTTATGTATCAAGGAGCTATTTATGTAGTACAGCTCATGAAGATACGAAAACTTCAGCTACCAAGAGGAAGTTAATGGATATTCTTTAAGTGTTTCCCATTTTAACTTTTAAATAACATAGGTTACTATATTAAATACAGTAGCTCGTAGCTACTATGTATAACACTTTAAAAGTACTAAGAGGTAATGTTTCATCATTATTTAAATATTTATTCTTAGTGTTACAGATAGAAAAGGGAAAATTTTGAAATTATTTACTTAAATACAAAAAAGACTTCATAAAATCTGTTGCTGACCTGTGACAAATTTAGAGCACATATTTGGCTTGATGGGAGGAAAAATGAGAAATTAACTAAAAAATAAACCCCCTCAAAAAAAAAAAAAAAAAAGGGAAGAAAGAAATTAAGTCAAAATACACAGGAAAGCAGTACTGGAAAGCATTTTGTATTCTGCTTGGAATCTGTGCTCTGAAAGCTGCACAATGATGTTTAAGGCTTATTCTATAAGAACAGCTATTGTTTCTTTCTAAAGCTGAAGTCTGTCCCTACTCACAAAAACAGGTGTGATGTATAAAGAGCTTATAATAACGGGGACAGCACTGCAAGAGCTGTAAAGCCAAACAAAATTCAACAGTATTCCAATTATGCTCTATAACTCTCAATAAATTGTCTCTCAATAATGAATGTACATTTGCCTAACTTCACAATAAATGTCCATATTTGCAACAACAATATTCTCTTTGTGAGAATCCTCACCTTTGAATTGCATTTACTCAGCTGGTCTCCTTGAGCAAACCTGTGCTTAACAACCTGTAAAACAGGATAAAGTCAACCTGCGCACTGGATAACAATAAACATACCCAATAAATACCGTATCATACTGAAATGGCAACTTCTGTTAAACACAGTTCAAGCAAAACATCCACCATACCAATCTATTTGTCATATTTGGATACCAAAATTATGAAACAGAGCATTAGTGATCCAAAAGGAAAATAATACAGGCAGGTTTTCTCTCAATTTTTCTTATTATTCTCTGATTATGATGCAGGTGCAATGTAAGAACAGTTTTACTAGATTTGGTCCACTTAACTGCATTAAAAATACTGTGTTTTCAGTTTTTCAATGGCAAAGTAGAAATTTTGGATTTCTCTTGCAAGTTATGTCCTAGTGTTAAAATCAAACTCATCCATGTTACCGAAAAAGTCTTTTAGGAGAGACTGTCTCTAGGATTACAATTGCTCTGTCTGTGCATAACTACGTAATAGTTTGAGGGAAAGGTACATTGAGGAAATAATTATAATTATTTTGCTACTAAGAACTTTATATATAGAGGACATGATTTTGCAGGTACAAAATAACAGTGTTTTGTGTAAGCAAGCTCCTACAAAAACACCTGCATACCATCATCTGCACCACTATAACTTACAGAGGTAATACATCCTATCTCTAAGTAATTAGTTTCTTTTGTAGCTATGGAATAATGTTTTAAATTACTAATGTAGCACATTTATCAATATTCAATATGTGACGACATTAAAACAAAGGAGTGCATTAAGGTCTGTTTTTTACTGGTAATAAAAAACATTGATATGAATCAACAAAACACATACTCTAGAATATGGTTGGTTTTAAAACTGTGTTGGTGTAACTCAGCCAGGTAACAGGAAGACACAGAAAGACTGTAATCCAATGACATTTTGTTTAACAGTACTAACTACTACTTATCCCATGCATTACACCAAGATTGCAAGTAGTCTACCACACACAACCATGCCTACCAAGGACCACTACTGAGTTATATTTTAACTAATGGTAGATGCAGCAAATACAGGATTATTAAACTTTGGAGGTTAGAAGACATTATTACTATTTCAAAATATATTAAAATATCTACTTTATTATCTCAGTACTACAATGAAAAATAAATTTAGTAACACACATTTTATGCTAAGGATGTATTAAATGACTGTTACTTACCACCCCAAACCATATATGTTTTATAACAGCATTTTTAATTTCAGCAAGCTCCACATTAGTCATGATTTGTTTTTTTTCCGGTGCAGCCAGGAAACGGTTCATTTGGGTAGCTTCAGGATTTTGTATTTCATTCTGTGCAGAGGAAAAAAATAACACTTTTTTTGTTTCAAAGCTAGTGCTTGAAATCAGCTTTTATGTGCTAAACTACACACTCCACACTAAACTCTTGAGTGCACGTGTAGTCTCTGACCCAGTCCCTATGAGTGGACTAAAGAGCTGTTGTGCCATAATGGATTTTCTCTTTGGACTTTCAAAAGCTAAAATACAAAGCCCAAACCCTCTCAACTAGTAAAAAATGTAGCAAGGATTTTTTTTAAAGGTATGTTTCATCCTTCAATTTGACTAGAACCATGCATTCATCTTACAAAGGTTATTACAATGAAATCTTTTCAGTTCTTGCCTATAAGCCTGAACTAAACTAGTAATTTAAAATTTAAATAGTGTGGGTTTTTTTTCCCCCCAGTAATTTACTCTCTAAGCCCACCAAACATTTTGAGTTACTTCTTCAGCACAGGGAATGAAAAAGTATTTCTCACACTGGTTTCCATCTCATTCCGAAATGAATCTCAGTAAATGCACAAGCTAATTTTTGTTAGTAAAAAAATAACTACAAAAAACATTTAAAAGTTATTTCAGGACAAGAAGAAAATACATTTCAGTAAGATTATCAATACATGCTTTTCATCCAAGGTTGTGCACATGGACTATGAATAAAACATCATCTTCATTTTAGGCAAATACTTGTATAACTACAAAACCACCCTCCTCCTGCAGTGGAAGCAGGTGAAATGTTCCTCTTGGTCTCAGCACCAATGGCTGGTTTTTATTTGGAGCAGGTGTGGAAGGCTTGGGGTACCTTGCCTTCTAATTGAAACACCTGAATCTGATGGGCAAATCTAGCATGGGTAGTATGGGAAAGAAGAGCAGGCAAAACAACACACTACTACACGCAGCCATGAGGTGCAAGCCATGAAGACTTTATTTAATATTTAGTATTAATATGATTAATTAATTAACATTTAAGTTTTCAGGCAAAGTATCAGACACTGCATGTTTCTTCCTATTTTCAGATTTTGCCTTAAATGTGTAGTTCAAACCAGAAGTATCTGGCATGTGCATAGCTATGTTTCTAACCAAATGTGGAGTTTGTTACACAATACAGAAGATCATAGAATCACATAATCATGGAATGATCGAGGTTGGAAGGGACCTTAAAGATCATGAGGTTCCAACCTCCCTGCTATGAGCCGGGACACCTCCCACCAGATCAGGCTGCTCCAAGCCCCATCCAACCTGCCCTTCAACACTGCCAGGGAGGGGGCAGCCACAACCTCCCTGGGCAACCTTGTTCCATTGCCTTACTGCTCTCATGGTGAAGAATTTCTTCCTGATGTCTAACCTAAATCTCCCCTCTCTCAGTTGAAAACCATTTCTCCTTGTCCTATCACTGCCCTCTCTGGTGAAACGTCCCTCCCCAGCTTTCCTGGAGCCCCTTCAGGCACTGGAAGGTGCTCTAAAGTCTCCCTCGAGCCTTTTTTTCCTCCAGGCTGACTAGCTAAGTACTTTCAGTAACTTAAGAAGAGCTCTGGGTAGTTTTTGATGAGTCAGGGGTAACTGAGCTCTGACACATTGACTAGTCTTTACTTCTTTTGACACTCTCTGAACACTGTTTTCAACATGCTTATAGAATCACAGAATGGTCTGGTTTGAAAAGGACCTTAAAGATCATCCAATTCCAACCCCCCTGCCATGTCACTCAATTTTAGTACCATCTTGGCAAAATTTTATCAATTCCAGCATGCATCCAACAAAGTAAAAAAAATAGGCATATTAACACACATAGGTAGACAGACTGACAAACATATTTTAAATCCTTACCAAATAGAAAAAACATAAATGGAAAAGATTTTTTTCCTGGCATTTGGTGAATAACTGTTTAGTTGACAGTCACGCTGAGACTTCCTTGTGAAGCCTAAATAATTTTTCCAGTAAGAGCAGCAGAAAGCAGGAGCCAGGAAAGAACATGAATAGGAAGAAGAAATTATGTATGCTTCCTCGTTGCTATTTCTCCAGGCCTAAAACAAAAAACTGCTTTTTAAAGACCATTTTTCTGTTACGGAATCACAGATCAGCTGAAGTCAGAAGGGATCTCTGGAAGACACATGGTCCATCTCAACAGCTGAAGAAGGATCACTTGAAGCCAACCACCCAGGACTACACCTGGGCAGCTTTTTATTATCTCCAAGAATGGAGGCACCACAGCCTCTTTGGGTAACATGTTTCAGTGCCCCATCTCCCTCACAGTAAAGAAGAGTGTTTCCTGACTTTCAGACAGAACCCCATATGTTTCAGTTCGTGCATACTGCCTCATCCTATCACAGGGCACCACTGGAAGCAGCCTGGCTCTCTGCTTTCTTTGCACCCTCCCTTCAGCTATTTATAAACATTCATGAGCTTTCTCTTCTCTTGGGGAGACAGGCCCAGAGTCAGAAAGTTGTATTACTTTTGATCAAATCGGGAAATATTCAGGCTGATCATATTCCCCTGGTATTATAATCACATGAATGTTTTGGTGGGAAAAGACCTTTCAGATACAACCACTGACCTAACACTGCAAAGTCCACCACTAAACCATGAACCTCAGCACCACATCAAATTAATACCATATTTACAGTAATCAGTAAACCCAAATTGCTAGAAATGACAATGAAGAAGCAATTTTAGATATTTCTTTTATTTACTTACCTCAAGAAGGTAATCTCCCAGATATTGCAAAGGGTAGTATCGAGCTTCAGAGACACATTCTTTGTTTTGCGAAGAAACAAATTCGTTATTGATGAATACATGAGTTACACTGTGCTCTGCATTTACAGATGAACTTATGGTTGCCTTCCCAGCTTGAAGAACTCTAAATAAACATATTTGGAAAGATGCATTTACTCCATTGTATTAATATCACTTAAAGCTACATTATCACTCACAAGCTACAAGCATGCAACAGTAAAGTTCTACATGTATGACACTTCCCAGCCTTCATTAGAAGAATATACAGTTGCTTAATAAAAATAAAAAAAACCTACCTAACAAGACATTTCTCTTCATAATTTAAGGCTATTAATTACAATCTATGTTCACCTCCTACGTATCTAATGGAGAGCTTTACCTGTGAAGTTTTTAAAAGATCAAATTTGGTGACAGTTGTTATAGTTCATTGTATTATGGCCCCCACAATCTCAATTGTTTTTCAATTAAGTTTTACAATAAATTAAGTGGTTTACCATGAACTGTAATATGATATTTTCAAAATGCAAATACACTTTTTTAATACATTTTGGAGTGATTTACAGCATTTGGTATTGTCCAAATTTGTCTGTCTTTGGGTCACCATTATGTGGAAGAGTTTCTCCAGACACAACTTACAGCATTGTACTGCTGCAGCTGTTTCTATCTTTTAGACTATATGCCAGACAAAAAAAGAAAAATGGTAGAAGAAATAAGGTCTCTTGACATGCTGGGTGTTTTAGTTTTCAACCGTTGGGTATATAAAAAGAAAGGGAAGCTGGTGTCAACTCACACAATCCAATACCCAGGCACTAAAGGCAGGAAAAGAACAGAACTGGGAAAAGAATCAGTGTTATAAATACTAGATACAAAAATCAGTCTTTACCCAAACCTACAGTGGCCTCTGTAGTGAAGAAAGTACTCACTGGAGACAAAAATGTCCACCTTTCAGTGTTTTCTGACTGAGTTAAAAGCACCCGCATGTTGGTGTATGGGAAACAGTCTGGAAAATGAGATTACTTCCACAAAACTGCCTGTTCACCTGTCTTCTGGATGTAATTCCTGTTAAAGGTTACTTCTACTGGAAACAGAGAATCATCCAGGACAGCATTTCCACAGTTATCATGGAGATCTGAATAAGCATTTTTCACAAGTGCTGCAGGATGACTGCACCCTTCTCCAAGGAAGCACATGGTGAACTCCTGCTGAGCCAAGAAAGGAGGACACTTGGGAGTATTTTCAGCTGGCAAAATCAGGAGATGGTAACTTCAACTACACCTCACTTTCCCTTTACAAACTGCAGACCAACAGGCATTCTGCAACGCAACATGCATCCCTGTACACCATGATCAACCAGGCAAACTGCACTTGTTGTCTTGCCTGTGTGTCTGTGGCACACTCAGACCAGAGAAGTACTCTGAACTAACTGGGATTTCAACAGAGTAGGACAGTGTCTGCTCCTGCAAAGAACCTGCAGCTCTAAAACAGTGTCAGGGGACGTTTGCTTTTACTGCACCAGATGCAAGAAGTAGTTAATATGCTCTGTGATTCAATGCAGAGTTTAAATCATGGAATCCAAATGCATAGGATGAGTATGAAAAAACCCAACACCCCTAAAGAAACACCTCCAGCATCCTTACCCTTCAGCTGCTTTCCTCTCCTGTTTTTCCTTTACACTTTTGTCCTTTCCCTTGAGCTACCTGTATTTGCACTGTATCAAAACACCTGTTAATAGTACAAATTGGGTCCTAAGAGCCACAAGAAGCTGTTGCATGACATGACATAAAGAAAATCAGATCAGTCACAGCACAGCCCAGACCCACCAGGCACAGCTCACAGGTGGCTCAGGCAGCACCACCAAGTGAAATAATCTTTTCTGTCCCAACTACCATTTGAATGTAACGTCCCCACAAAATAAATGGTTACTCCTAAAAAATGTAAGCCTACATATCTTGCCTCACAAAGAAAGAGTCTGCAAGCAGTTTACTTAAGATGCAAACAGATGGCAGCGTGTGTTATTTTTGACACGATACCAGAAGAAAGCAAGAAAAGCAGTGATGTTCAAGATTTGAAGTGATTTAATTTTAAAAAGCATGGAAGTATACTAATGAAAACAATCCAGAGTTTGAAAAGCTAGAGGTTGTTACGGCTCAAATTAAGTGGGATGGAAGAACAAAAATGTCTTCAATCACACAATAAGTGTTCCGCTGTTCATTATTTAAGATGTAACCTCCTACCTTCTGATAGATGCCATTCGTTTATCATCTCCCTTAGCAGGGAGGACAACTTTCCATCCATGGAAGGCCCCTGGAGCACCGGAGTGTGTCAGTTCTTTGCGCCACCTTTTAGGTGCAGATTGCATTTGAGGTGAATAACGGGTGTCTTTTCCAATTTTATATCCCCACTCATACGTGGTTTCATCAAGCCACCTGCCACTTTCAGCACTATTAATTATGTACTCCTTAGTTAGTATCCACTTTCCTAAAAAGCAAATAAATTGTCAACCAGAGGAGATTATTTTTTTTTTTCTGCAGACAAATGACAATCAACTGAAGATCTAATATAAAATTAACTTCAGCCTTTCTTGTGCAAATAGAAGCTGGAACTGTAAGTACCATTTAAAAAAACTTCTTACTGTACAAGCTCTCATCTTCACACTTTAAAATCAGAAATCTCACAATGCCACTGAAGATGATCGTTTTGTTTTCTTTCAAGGACAAAGTGCCTCTTCACCATTCCTAGATAAAATACTTGTCTATCTCATAAAAAATGTGCAAGTAGAACTTTTCAGCTTCCCAGATTTTGTTCCTATGACTTCTACAGAACCTTGCTTAGGCCATTATTTTTACTATAATCTGATACTTTTACAAATACACTAAAATGCAAAGAACCAAAGAAATATTTTGCCACCAATTATTAAGAAGAGGAATGAGGATTTTAGCATGTAAGCCATCTCTTATATATTCTTAATAATACTTGCACTGCAAGTGTATTTTTTAGTTTTTTGTCTTTCCCCTTTCTTCTTTTCACATCCTTTTCTCTCATCCCTTGGCTCCACCTCCTCTGCCTCTCCTCTTTCATCTTCCACATGTATGCTTTTGATACTGTATGTAATGATCTTCCTCTTCTTCTCTGCCTCTGTCTTCTTACAGGTTCAGGTCAAGAGCTGTGGTTAGTACCCTGCTCCTGTACTGGAACACTACCTACAGACACTGTAAGAGAAATTGACTTAAATTATGTAAACCTAATTAGTTTCACAGAAGAGTAAGGTTGACTGGCAAAATGTCTCAGTGGAGGAGCACAGATGGTACTTTTACATGACCTAGCACAGGTACCAGTAGATTCATGACTGGAAAAGGTATGCTGTGCACAACCTGCATGTTAAAATCACCCTCATTTCAAAGTTTCCATCTCAAAACTTCTGTCAGCTAAGGACATGCATAAAGACTGGCATTCTTCTTAGCATTTTCATTCACTTCCGGGGAGTTCTAAATGGGTTTAAACATGATTTTTTATACTTGGGAAACATACTCTCCCTGCCATCAAGGGCAAGAGCAACGATCATGCAAAAACAGCACCACTTCCAGGATTAAAAAGTACCAGATGGCACCAAGGAAGATCTGCATTTACAGAAACATGACCGAGTTCTGAATTGCCCTGTGGACACTACTACATATACTGTTTCCATTCAGTTCAAGAAAAAGACTCCAGACATTTTAAATCCTAAAAGAGTAGGAAAACATTAACTCAAAGGCTTATGAATGTTAACATGAAGCACCATGCTGCAATCTGCATTTTAATACTGTCTCTCTCACATGGAAACCTTTGGTCTATTTCCTTTTTGGCTAGAATGTGATCAGAACTTTCATTACTGCAAGAAATCATCCATGAATAAACACACACCTACATCCTAGAAGTGACTTATGATGCAAAATGCCTACTGACATGGTATGTAACTACAAATATGAATTCAAGAAATTCACATTTAGACTTAAACCCAAATCTATGTTTAGCTATTTCTGCCTGTTATCTCCTAAATACAGTATTAATCATCCTAAAAGTTGCTTTAACACTTTGGTAAAATACCATATAGGGAAAATAGATACCATGTGTAACAAGTTCACAGGGTAGTATTGTGAAATCTCATGAGTCCACAAGACTTTTTTAAACTCATCGTAAAATACTTCTAGGTAATCTGCCTACTGAGAAATCTTAACATACAGAATTCAAATTCTAGAAGTATTTTGGATGCTTATGTAGGGGATTTCAGCATCAGGCCTTAGATGAAAGAAGGCAAGAGGAAAGACCAGAGGATTGTGTCAGAATAGCAAAAGCCTGGAACTTTCTCCTGCTGCATAAACAGGAACTTACAGTCAGTGAACTTTACCAGTGAATGTTGTGTGTGAAACTGGTTTCCTAAATCCATGCTGACTACAGGTGTCCATACTCTCTCTGCTCCCTTTGCAAGTGATACATTTTTAAGCATCTGTACCACTTGGGTTTGACTCCATGACCTTACTAATACGTAACAAAGCCTCCTATTTGGAAACAGAATGAAATCAAATAAAGGAAGGTGGCAGGAATGTAATGTGGGGAAAAATAAAAAAATCCAAGACAAAAAGTAGTAATTCAGAATACCCTGCTAAAAGTCAAGGTTTGTAGAGCATGGGTTCATAAGACAGTTCATTCATTGCATGAAAACAGGTAACCAGAAACTTTTTAACTGTTGTCTACCGTCCTACGTTATGGTCCTTGGAAACTTTACAACAAACTTTTACTCACCAGAAGCACAGGAAGCTAAGAACTTTTCACTCTTGCACAGCTTTTTTGCTATGAGATGTGTACAGTCTCTGTATTTCTAACAAAACAAAAACAAAACAGCACATGGGAACAGTTTAACTTCCTTGGTTATTTATAAACCACTCCGGCTCACTGCACAGTTCCTCATTTTAAGCCTTTGCACTTTTTCTTTGCGTGGCTCACGATCGGGTACTTAAAATCCAACAATACCTTATGATCCAAAAAAACACAGTCCAGTTTGAGCAGCCGTTCGAGCAGCGCTTTTTTCTCCTCCTTTTTAAATCCAGTTAACTGGATGATCCGTCTCTGGCCGCCACTTCCCACCTGCTAAAGGAAGCACAAGCAAAAAAAGGAAGCTTTACCAGACACACACACATACACCAAAAATAAAAGGCACATGGCATTATCTTACGAGTTCTTCCCAAGTCGTTTTCCGAGAAAAAGGGAAAACAAGTGGAAATGTCAAAACCAGGACACCTGACAGGTGAGGACAGTGTAGGTGGGAGACCCAGGAACTGCCAGGGCAACACCCCGGGATGGGAAAAACCCTTCCCTGAGGGAATGCCGCCCCCCCAGCAGGGAATGCCGCCCCCCCAACAGGGAATGCCGCC